TGGCCTCTTTGAACTTAATGGGGTCAAACACGAACTTGGACTGGACGCTGTGCTCTTTGCTGGGTGATGGGCGCTGCTGATCTCCAAGAGATTCTTTGGAGCTGGGTCTTTGTTGCCATTCAGGTATGACTCTGACAATGGAACGCCATCACCCCACAACTGGCCGTCCTGACAAGTTGGAAAATCCGCATCTCCATCGAACATGGGGTAGTCGAGCTTGGCCGGTGGTTCTTCAGTATACGTGGTTCTCGGAATGGACCCCTCGCCATCGGACCCCGTGCGGACGAAGAGGACGAGCAACAACCCTCGCCTTGCTTCTTGCTGGAAAAGCTAAACACTGAACAAAGACACCCTTTCCCAATTCAGAATGTTTTGGCAAAAATACTGGCCTCACAGGTTGCTGGCTGCACTGGTAGTGCTTGGGGCATGAACTTCTGCAACGGTGCGCTGGGCTTGAAAAGTAATCATGCCTTCCTCAACCGGATTGGTGACCGCCTCAAGCCTATGAGGGGCCGTGGCAGCTGCAAGGTTCTGTACTGCTGGGTTGTGACTCCAATGGCCTTTGTGCACCAAGGAGCTGCATCAGAACCTACAATGACCATAGGCACCGTTGCCAAGCTAGGGCTTCTCACACAGATGTTCACAAGCCACAGGCAACAGCAACAAGTGAGCGATATGGTGCACTCAGCATTTTCAATCCTCAGTGGCTTCATCTGGTGTCTTAGCCACACTTTGTCCTAGTGCTTCTCTTGTCTCTCGAGCTTTCGCTTGGCTTCACTCACCAAGCTTTTGGCATTCAAAAGTTCCATTCTCTTGTTGCGATTGAGAATCTTTGTGTAGACCTTCAACTTAGAGCCGTTAGCAGAGATGGCTGCCCGACGCTGCCCTCAAAGTTGCTAAAGTAGAATCCTTAGAACTCGTCTACTCCATTCACCAAGATTTTGCCGATGCCCACTGGGCTCAATTGTAATTCACACTTGACTCGAGGTCTTCTTATCTTCGACCTCCTTCTCAGGTGGAGTAGGGGTAATCTCCTCGATTGCCTTCTCCACATCTTTCTTTCTCTCCTCTCTGTTCTCAAGCTTCTTGTATCCTGGCGCAAAGAACTCCATATCTTCTGGTGGTGCTGGCTCGTAGCTGAAGATTGCGATTGAAATAATGACTGCATCATCATCACAGATGTGCTCATCAAGTTCTCCTTCTTCATCATAATCTCAGAATATTCAGGCATAAGCCATCTACCTCCCCTTTTCACCAAGGTGGTTCTCATCAGCTCTGGTGAATCTTCCACTTCTGGAATGAATGTGGGATCAACCAATGTTGAAGCCAAAAAGCTTTCCAACTAGTAGGCCATGCTCATTGATTTTCCAACCTGCTGCCTTTTCCAGAGCTAGCAGCATTCATCCTCATGTCAAAGAGCGATTTTGCAAGTTGAGTGGCACCTTCAAGTCACCATCCTCCAACCTCTGCCCCTGACCATTGATTCCCCAACCATGTTCCACCAGTCTTCCATAGCAAATTGTGGGCTGATTCACTTTTTTGAACTGAAGACCACGTTCTCTTTGAGAAGAACTTCACGTCCATCCATGTCACGCAAGGAGATTTCTACACTTTTCGCACCCCCGGCGGTGGGGATACAATTCCCCTGGGCATCTTGTAGTTTGGTAGCTGAATTGAAGTCTAGCTCTCCTTCCCCATGATCTGCCTTATTCAAAGGGAATAAATTTACATCAGCTCTACAATGATGGCCACATCATCTCTCTCTTCTCCGAGTCTTCTAACCTTGGACTCCTCATTCTCAATCTCCATGGAGTTTTCCTCAATGTGGTTTTCTCCTTCTTCATATGGCTAACCACCATCGAATCATCTCCAATGTAGAAATGAATCGCTCCAATTCCATGATCTTCTGCATCATCATGACCTTCTCGTAGGTCAAAAAATGATTGTCTCACTGTTCTCAATTCTTCTGACCACTGGTGTGGTATGCGCCGAGCTACTTTGCTGACTTTAAATTGGCTTGTTGGTGGCCAACTGTATGCTCCGCCTGAAGATGCATGGTCTGTATCACTTGCAACCTGTGGAATATTGTTTCCCCAACAGTCTCGAGCAAGATGTCCTGGCGTCCCACAAGTGTAACAATAAGCTGCCACACCTTTTCCTTTGTGGTCTTTGCCCTTACCCACCCTTACCTTTCCTTCTTTTCCTTCCCGTTTTTCCTTGGCCTTTAGCATCCTTATCTGGGCCCTTTTGAATCATTCTTACCTTTCTTGCCCTTTCCTTCGGCATCTTGAACTCGATCAACGTCCATGCGCATGGGTCCTTGATAGTCTGTACAGATACTTGCAACCATTGAAGTAGCCCACTTCTGCTGAGAACGGTCCCATTGCAACACTTGTTCCCAAAGTTGAGTATTGAATGAACATTGTCGCCCATGGTCATATTTTGTCGTATTCAAATAGGATTTGAGCTGTCCACCTACACATCTCAAAAGAATAGCAGATTTCAACGCTTATTGAATTGTTGCTCCTGATTTGACCGGCTCTAAATACCTCTTCAAGCTTAAGAAGTTGAGGTTGTAGAGCACTGTTCATAGAAAATGCTGGCCATGTAGTGGCTAATCCTCTTGCCATCGAAGTAGGTTTCAAGCTTTGTGCAAACTCCTCCAGGCATCAAGTCCATTGGAGTCCTCCACAGCTTTCACCAATTGTAGCGCCCCGCCCCTCATCAACGATGCTAAAAATCCATAGCGCTTGATGCACCTGGCTTTCTCCTCTTCACCATGTCAAAGTTCTCGCTTGGCTTGTCATGAATCCCTTCCAAGTCCTTCATGTAAGCCTCATCCACTGGGCTCAAGTACTTCTCAAATACCCATGACCACTCTCTGAACGGCCTTAATCTCTTCTTCTTGTGACTTATAGTGAGACAGATTTGGGCTTTGTGACCAGTAACCAGCTTTGACCAATCTGCTGTAGTTGCTTTCCTGTCTTCAACTGCTTTGTTCACTGCCTCAGCTGCTGATGTTGTTGCTTGCGTACTCTGTGCTAAAACTTGGGGATTTCTCTTGTCTCTTCGATCCTTGTCGCACAATAATGTCCTTCTGACACAACGTGCAGGGTACAGAGCGCAGCTCACAACAACTTCTCACCAGTCCAGCTATTTGGGCTCCAAAGGCCCAAACCTATGGCTCGAAACACTCCCGGGTTCCCAATGACCTAGGGGCACTCCTAGGGGCTTCTCTCTGAAGCTCAAAAATTACTTCAAAGGGGCTTATCCCTGCTCCGCTGCCATGCGAACTTTTCTCTGCATGCAAAAGGGCTGCGGTCAGGTGAACACTGTAATGACATGCTATACATACTACCTCTGGTCTATCTTGAAAACTATTCACATAAATATATATATATACCAGTAATGTTTCAACAATTTTCAACAACCTCTTGGATAATATCAATACACATATATATATATATACAAGCATATATCTGAATCTATATATATTTAGCGAGAGATACAAACCATGTATCAAAAACACATCACCTTTTCACAACTGTGTGGTCCACATCTGGGTGTTGAGTTGGTTTTGGTGATAGGAGTCGCGCAGTCTTCTGCCTGCGTCGGCATAGTTCATGCAGAAGGCCAAATCATGAAGAGTTTCTTGAGGTGTGTGAAGAGCGTGACAGGGTGTCCGTGACGCGGGACTTGCCCAGAACCCCACATGACTCAAAGCGTTGATCTCGGGGAGACCCGATAGAAGAACGAAGGGACGCACGCTCGAGGGGCACGCACAGCCGCGCACCTTTTAGGCCCAAAAGCCCGCCGAGAGCAAGTTGTGACGTCAAAAAGTGCACAGCGAAGGAGAAAGAGCACCGCGTGCTCTTCACACTCTTTAGTTTCAGTTGCCCTCTTGAGATCTTTACAAGGGAACACGTTTTCCAAAAACAAACATTAAGAATCCTCCTGAACGTTCATATATTCGCATTTATACGGTCAGAGTCTTATAAAACTGAGAGTTGCACAAGCGAGAATGGCATTTTTTTGGACAAGGCAGGATGCTTAAGACTCTCATGGCTGTGGGCTTAGGTTCCATACCATAAAAAATAGATCCGGTGCTTCTACAGATGTGAAGGCACGTTGGAAAAACGATAAGAATTTCAAGTTGCTAGAAAGAGACACATTCTTAGGAAGGAAGGAAAGGAATGCCTTTCAAAAGACCGATCTCAATCTTGTCTTGTTTCACTTAAGCCCGGGTAGGCTCTACCTGAGTAAAGGCTTAAAGTTACATGCGCGAAAGACTGTGCACATGTCAAACGATCAACCTTTAGCATGCACTCTCACAGTGCCCCGCTCTCTTTCCTTGTGCCTGCTCTTTGCCCTCCCCCAGAAAGTTTTGCTTGGCACCATGCTGAGTGACAAAAAGAGTTCCACGGGAAGGGTTTTAATCCCACAGTTCTCCATCTCATGCCTGAATACTCCATGTGCGCGACTAGAATGTTGTGTATCGCGAAGAGAGTTGGTGCTTTGGGAGACCGATCCTTGCTAAGGTGGCCGGTGGCATCACTTTTTTCACGTACTTGCACCTGGTATACCCGAGCCTTCGAACTCCATCATTTTTCTCCACATCGGCTCAAAGCTTTTAACTTTGGAGCAACATGCGCCTGGACCAACATCACCGCACATCCAATTGCGAGCCTCACGCAAAGCCAGGCTTCGAAGCGGACACTGCAAAAACCTGCAAGAGTCATTCCTGAGTATCTCAAGTTTCTGTTCTGCTGGTATGCGGGCAGGTCTCACTTTCAACATGCTGAGATGGCGAGCACCCAGCGAACACGACACAACTCCTTTGAACTGAAAACGGCTAAGTTCAGAAATCGCACAAGCATTTCGAGCACCGGAATTTGGTCGCAACAGGCTTTTGTCAGCTGCTCGCTCAAATGCAGCGTTTTGGAAACACCGGGCTGATTGCTACAGCACATTGCTGGTGAAACACAACGCACACCCGGAAGCTACCACCACATGTCAGAACTGCCCTTGCGGCCTAAGCTGCGTGCTAGTCTGGTATCAAAAAATCATGTCAACGCCTTGAACAAGGACGCGGCGAGGCTTTCCTTTACTTTCATAATCCTGATCTTGACAGGCACAGGATGACTTCCATCATGCCACATCGCCAGCGCGGATTGAGACATCTTGAGGGCCATGCGGGGAAATTATGCGCAGAGCCTGGGTAACCAGGACAAATCTCAAGCCGGTTGTTGCAGCAACTTAGTCGAGATGCCCCAGTAGTCCATGTATGCCCAGGGCTCCTCAGCAACTGCCACACTCCAACATGATTGTCTCGCATTCGATTGCATTGTGTGTTGCAGAATGGGTCTGTTTGACGCCAGCGGATTTGTCGTGATGCTGGATTGTGAATGTGAAGTCTTTGGATGTCTTTGGTATGAAAAACACCTCTTACTATGCGGACATCACTACATGAATCCTTAGAGTGCATGGTTTCCGTATGTTATTTGTTTTGACACTGTTCGTCCTTTCCTTCTTGACACGGTGACGATGTATGCCACAACTTGGCAAGTCCGAACATTGAGGGGCGTGAATCAGTTGTGCAGCACACTATCAAGTTGGGCGAACGTAAAAACCCACACTGCAACGAAATGAAAGACGGCCGAACAGGTTGCAAAAAAAAAACAGGTGTGTCGGTGTAGAACTGGTAACAAACTGGAAGCAACTGCGAAGAGGGCGGCCAAGCGCGTGACTCGCTCCATGGTACAGTCATGTGCAACCACATGTGTGCATACATCTGGCGACATCTTCACCCACCTCACAAGCGCTGTCCCCCTCCAAAAACAAACATGAGAAGCTGCAAAACGAAAGCCAGTGTTTTTACTTTCGAGTGTGCTTTCTCAGGCCACCCCCCGAACCCCCCTTCTTACTCAGCTGGCGCAGGTATAGATACCCAGGGTAACTACAATTCAGTTACCAGGTATAGTACTTCAAGTTCCCTTTCCGTTAACCGCTCGATAACCTTTACACACGCACAGCAATCCACAGCTTTGAAGCCTCATTCTTGCATTGAACTTATATAGGTGTGTAAGAGGTATAGCAACATAGCATCTATACGGACCCAGGGTAGCTACAATTCTGTTCCCAGGTATCGCGCGCATGAGACTTCAAAGCTGCGGATTGCTGTGCGTGTGTGAAGGTTATCGAGCGGTTGATGGAATGGGAACTTGAAGTACTATACCGTACCTGGTAACTGCACTATAGCTACCCTGGGTATCTATACCTGGCAAGGTGCCAACTGCACCTTACCATTCAGATGATGCAAGTGATGCAAATTGCATTTCTTGCATCACCACCCCTCAAAAATCACCTCCAACACAACCTCAAAAATCCTTTCCATCCGTCCACCCTCCTTTCCCAGCATGTGCCGAGTTTACGTGTACCTTTTGCGGGCCCACCCCCCCAGACCCCCTAACTACTCACTTCGTTCGCCAAGCACAACTCAGCTGGCGCCTTCTACGAAGGCTGGCTTTCGTATTTCACAGGTGCAAATGACAGCTCACGATGCTCACACCATGTGCGTTCATCAAACTTCGGATGTTTATCATGCTGGACACAACGGGTCCTTGCCGCAGCATGCAAGGAACTTGAAGAACAGGCCAAAACAAACATAACTAATCAGGCCTCGCCGACTTGTAACTATCTGTGAATTCGGGGATTGCCACACTGATGCGGAGGTGTTGCGCAAAGTGGACGTGAGGGTAAGGGTGAAAGTTGCACAAGTTGAATTTGAAGTGAAGTGTTGGCTTCCCGCAAATCAAGCACACGAGGTCTCGGTTGTTTCCCGTTCAGGGTATATAAGCCGTTTCCAGTCCAAGCGTAGCCTATGGCTATCTATGGCTAATGGCCGCCTGTTTCACCGAAACTATGATCTTTGTGAGGGGAAAAGGAAAAGGCTCGCAATTAATGCGCCATCGCATGGCATGCAATCCACGCTACCTACCACAAGCTTCAACAACTCAGTTCACAAAGAACATACCACTTGTTACCCCTACCAATTTTTGAATCTCTCTCGTGCATGTCTCTTGGGGAAAGCAACTCCTCTCTTTAGACCAAAGACCACTGGACACAACAGATTGCCAAAACTGTCTGTTAGTCGTCACATCTGACTTGGACGCTTTTTCGGCACGTCGCTCCTGCCACCAGACCTGCCAGCCTTTGCCCTTGTAGCTTGGCAACTCTCCTGTAAATCTCCACTAAACATGCAAGTATACGATAGTAGAAGCCCACAAGACATGATTAGACGAAGAAGCCACAAAACAAACAATTCAACAAAAGGGCTACAGTAGGTGCATCTATTTGCACACATGAAAAGCACAAGCGCAAACACACACACTCGAGACTCGAGATATCAATACGTACTGAACGCCGCATCCAGGGGACACGCCAACAGAAAAGAAAAGAACGGTAGGTGTTCCCAGCCCTCGGAGAAGGTGAGGGCACCCGGACACGGGATCCCCCAGCTAAGAGACAAGCATCCAGGAGCACCTTAAGGATGCCAAAAAACAAAGGTAGGATGTTCCCTGTGATACAAGCGCGCAGTGATAGGGACACACCAAAGAAGGAAGAACGAGCACCAAAAGAATGAGATGAGGGGAGATGAGAGGCCGAGAGGCGTGGAAAGGAGGCAGAGCGCGAAACAAATGGGCCCGCCAGCCTTGTCACCACCACACCTAGGCCTCCCAGCATGCTCGAGTCAACGCCGTGCATCGCGACTATATATTTACACACATATATATATACACAGGCTATGTCGCTCGCGGTTCGATCATCCAAACCCATCCTGATCCCAAAGAGATCCAAAGAGTGCGAATGGGAAGGCAAAGATTAGCAGCCAGTCCTACCGATTGGGGATCTTCTTCGCAAAACCTGTTCTGACAATGATGGAAAATTCAAATACGTGGCGAACATGACAGAAATCCATTCACACATGCTCGAAGCGGTTGGATAGGCTTGCGCTCTGCTCTGGAGCACCACACGAATCACCCTAGCTCCTTTTTGATCTTTTTTGAGCATTGGAGGCGGGTTTGGAAAAAGGACTTGCTTTGTGCCGGTTATGAGACCAACGTTTTGAGAGGTACAGTAGGGGCAGGCTGTGCTTTTGCGCTGAAGAAGAAAGGTGAAGGATTCCAAACCAAGACCACCAACGAGTGCTCCACCTTCGCCTTCCACGGTCAGGCTTGGGTTGAGCTAGGCTATGAGAGTTGCAAAGGGTCCAGCTCCGAGGACACCAATGCCAAAGTGGGACTGGTGCGAGCTAGGGGCTACAGCGGCCTGGCCTTGTCCGATCAAGGATACGAGGACGAGCACATGGAACTGAGAAGAGAAGGTGATGGGTGGAGCAAACTGCACAGACTGCGCTGAGCCGTGGACCGACCTCGGCTGTCTATCACTCCAACGATGCGGGACCTCACAGGTTGTATAAAAATGTGATGCGACATGCGATGAGCGAGTTTGAAGGAGCCGGTCGTCGTGTGAAAATCAAGCTGACGCAGCTGTTGGTGGAATCTCAATCCCGAAAGCCTTGGGAGTCGGAGCTGCTTGAGATCCACAGTGGGAGGCACAGTCTGAGGGCACAGGAGTTGGACATGGCCACGCCGATGCAACGTTGCTTGGGGCGGTGAAGGCTTCAACGCAAGCAGCTTCGATCAGTTCCAGCGAATCGGGAGTGGATGTCTCCGACTTTGACCTCGGGCTTGGCGGATGCACTGGCAGATCGGCGCTAGCCGCTGCTCAAACAGAGCAAGCCAAAGCCAAAAGCCTGGCCATAGGGCGAAGTTGCCTTGGAAGATCGACAAGGAGGGGAGGACATGGGTGAGGATCCAAGGGGAAAGGGGAAAGGAGGGAGGGAGAACCTTCCACAGGGCAAGGAGGTCGTGGTCCATCTCCGCCACGGAAAACTCCATAAAACTGAGGTTTCTGCCACCGCCGAAAGGTCGCCGTCCATCTACTCTTTAGACCGGTTCAAACGGACTGTCGAATAATCGCTCTTGCGAATCACGTACCCTCTGATTTCACAATTTACACACGCCCCCAATAGGGAGCCGATTCAAAAGCTGATGCGGAGAATGGGCAAAGTCCGATGAAAAAGAAAGGCGGAGAGCGCTCCCAGCTGTGACACAAGCATCCAGGGGCGTACAGCACTATAAGGATCGAGATGGTCGGTTCGACAACTTCGGCAAAGAAGAGAGCACAAGGGAGAGTCAAGGCACAGAAATGCACGGCAAAAGGTGATGACGCATGTCGGGACAATTTTTGACGATATTAAAGGAATTCACTTCGCGTTCGAGGCACCCTGTTCTTGAGCCATAGAATGCGACGTACACAAGGGCATTACTACTAGTAGCAAATAGCTACTACAGTAGTAAGAAGATACTACTTTACAATGCCAAAGCTAATAATTTTCTACTACCTGAACGAAAAGAAACGGCTCAGCCCTTCAAGAGGCATGCGTGGGTGCCCTCTTGGGTATTTCTAGCACACGAAGCGGCAGCGGCATTCAAAATTTTCAGTTGTATATACCTAAAGCACCTGTTCAATGTCCGAAAGAATGAAGAGAAAAAGACGTCAAGTTCATTGTTTCTTTCGTTGTGTCTTCAGTTCTTTCAAGTTCTTTAGGCTTCCATTATTTCTGCATTCCTTTCACTCGAGAAAGTGAACGTTTCCACACTTCCTGCCTTTCCCTTTGCCCTTCTTTCCGTCAATCCTGAGAGCGGGAAGCCTTGACCGTTAGCTGCATGTAAGCGCAGAAAGGAGAGAGGCGGACGAACAGGTTGGGAAGAACATAAAGTTGACCTTTTGACATCTGCTCACTGCTTCGAAAGCCTGTCGGCCGAATTCAACCCGCGCACTTAGGAACTCCAAGGGCCAACTTCTTGTTTCTAATAGCGATGCACCTGTTACTAGTAGTAAGGCACTTGTTACTAGTAGCGATGCACTTGTTTCTAGTAGCT